AACTTGAATTTTGAAGAATAAACATGTATTTTTCTTTTTATGAATAAATTCCGGTTATTTTGTGATCATGGTCTTTGATCTAATTCATTTAAGGCTACAGTTATGTTTTCTTTATCTGCTCGTACAAATAGAATATCAGGGTTATTTTTAATAAACTTCTTTGTAATTGTTACTCATTTTAATAAAAGTTTATCTGTCTCATTAATTGAGTAAAGTGTTTTATAAAATTTCTCAAGAATGGGAACCTTTATTTTTGTTATAACAATAGACTATTCCCAAATCGATGGTTCCAGCAACATATTGGAACATTCTCTTGACTTTAACTATATCTTCTGGATGAATTTTCAAGTGATCTTGAGAAAAATCCTACGCTGTAAGCCAGATCTGGTCTCGTACCAAACATCAGGTACATCAATGAACTGCTTGTCTGTAGGGAAATTTGTGCTTTTTGACATTATCTTTCCCTGTTTTTGAAGTTTCAGGATTCTTTAGCATTGGCGTTGAAATTGACTTACAATTTGAAAAATTGAAACGTTCTAAAATTCTTTTTGCATAGTTTTGTCAACTTAATTTAATGCTATTTTCTTTTTGTTTAATTTCAAATCCTAGAAAGAGTATTTTGCCTTCTTTGAAATTATCTTGAATTCTAATTTTAGTTCTTCAAGAAAAACTTCGAGATCTTGAAGATTAATTGCTCTAATTAATCCATGATCCATGTACACTACTAGAATTAGTTTTTTGCCATTTTTCTCTTGAATGTACAGACATGAATCGGCTTCACTTACTTTGAATTCCAATTTAGAAAGAAAACTATCAAAACGCTTGTACCAACATCTTGGTGCCTGCTTGGTGCCGTACATGTTTTTCTTGAGTTCATAGACTCTGCCTGAGTTATCGTCGTATTTTTCTGGCTGTCTTATATAGATGATTTCTTCAAGTTCTCCATATAAGAATGCTGTTGACACATTAAATTGTGCAAGATGCATCTTTTCATTTACAGCAATACTTAAAATTGAATGTATCGTTCTCATCTTTGCTACTGGACTGAATGTTTGACTAAAATCAATGCCTTGACGTTGGGTAATCCTCTGACAACTAATCTTACTTTATATTTGTCAATAGTACCATCAGCATGTCTTCAATCGATAAACCCATTTACATGGTATTGTTTTTGCCCCTTCTGGCAGACATGCTAGTTTTCAAGTATAAGTTTCTTTTAGTGAGGCCATTTTTCTGTCCATAGCTGTCCTCCATTTAGCACTTTGTTTACTATTTAAAGCTTCTTTAAATGTTTCAAGATTTTTTATTTTGTTCACGAATTCTTCGGCCATCATAACAAAATCATTAAGTCTGAATAGCTCAGTTGGAAGAGCAGTCGCCCGGCAAGCGGAAGGTCTCGGGTTCGAGTCCCGATTCAGCCGACTTTCGGACCAATATTTTTCTCCTATTTCTTTACAGGGGATGTTAAGAGAAGGAACAGGGGGAATTTTTGAGATCCCAACCATAGGATTCAAATTCCTTTCCAAAATGTTCTTTCCTTCATAATTGTCGCAATAACATCGCGTTTGGCTCTATTGGTCGAGAGGAATCAAGTGGAGATTGTGGCTTTAAAAATCATTAAGTTTTTTCGGTTTCTTCAATGTTGAGCGGTCTCTGAGACATCGTCTGGATAACAACTCGGAGTTTTTTTCAATGAAAGCTTTATCAGTTTGCTCTTCTTCTTTATTTAAATCTTCATTGTTTTGCTCTTCTTCTTTATTTAAATCTTCATCGTTTTGCTCTTCTTCTTCTTTATTTAAATCTTCATTGTTTTGGTCTTCTTCTTCATTCAAATTTTTAGATTTGATATCTCGAAATGACAACTTAATTCTTTCTTGACATTCTCTCATTTTTCCTGGAATTGTATATCTTTAGATAAAATGACTTTACATTTTTCTTTTACACAAACTCAATATCTTTTGTCACCATCATATCCTACTAGATATCTTTTTATAGCTTTTTTGCCCATCTTTCTTCGTTTCTGAGTTGGAATATGAACATAGCAAACAGATCCGATTATGCGTAAATATTTTATTCTTGGTTTTTTGTCCATCCAGAGCTCATACGGACTAAAGCCTTCTTCAGATAACTTTCCAGTTTTGTTTAGAATATACACTGCTGAATTTACTAATTCAGCTCAAATTGCTTCAGGAAATTTAATATCTGTATTTAAATATTTGAAGGCCCTTGCCATCTCGATTGTTGTGCAATTTTCTCGCTCACTACCACCATTCTGTTCAGGTGTAAATGGTGCTGTCAATCTCTGTGTGATCTTATTTTCAAGTAAGAATAGCCTAACTTCTTCATTGTCGAATTCTCCACCATTGTCGCTCAATAATTCCTTGATCGAATGTCCCTGAATCTTTGCATGTGCAATTATCTGCTTTAGTACGTTTTTGACTTCTGACTTCTCTCTTACAAAAAAGCCATAGCGAATTTTTGTGTAACTATCTTTAAACACAACTAAATAACGCTACTTTTTAAAAAATTCATCGAAAGGTCCACATACATCAGTCGACATTAGTTCTCCAGGCTTGGTTGTTTTCTTACTGGTGCCGAACAGTAAACGGGTTGCTTTTCCAAAAATACATAATTCACATAATTCTTTGCTCAATTTAACTTTAATGCTTAACTCTTTGTCAAGCACTGTTTTGACATGTTGCTTATCTTGATGTCCCATTCTTTCATGATATAACTGCAAACTTGAATTATCTGTATCAGTAATATTTATTTCTGTCTGTCTTTTTGGAACAATTGGTTTGATGGCTGTCTTGTACAGAGTTTTAAATACTTTACGATTTCCATACAGCACTGTTTTGCCATTAACCTTAAGCCAGCACCTTGTAACCGTAGACTTGAATTCACTATTTTAATTATTATCTTGTGCTGCTAAAACAGAAAATAAATATTTTGAAATTTTTGGAACATACCATACGTCTTTTAATGTTAAAATTTGACTTTGTGAACCTTGACAAAATTTGAATGGCTCCTTTTCCAAGAGCCCTAAGAGTTTCTTTTTCAGCAGCCTTTATATTACATGGACTTTCTAACTTCTTGAACTCAACAAACAAATTTAAGCAGTTTGTTACATGTTTGGTTGCCCTGTTATCAATCCACCAATCTGTTGAATTTATTTCATTTGCACATATCTCATTGCAAACAGAAGTAAGAGCTACATTGGTATTAAGCGCATTGCTCTGAGCATCAGTTGTTACTTTATTTTTGGCTGGTCATCCATCGGCTATCCACTTTCTACAATCCTACCCAATGTCTCTTCTTCTTGCAGTAATTACAGTTATCTTCTTTTCTTAAACTTTTAATTCCATATTTAGATTTGCCTTCTTGCTTCTTGTTATCTGCTTTTGTTACTAATGCTTCTTGAACAAACTTCTCGCTGTCTATATTTTTTTCTGAAATTTCTCTCAAACATACATAGCTGTATTGTTAATTCATTAAATGTTTTTTCTTAATCCTTAGTTAGTAGCATCTAACTAGACTTAAACGTTTCAAAGTTGTTAGGCAAAATGTGTAGTGTTTTACATGTTAATAGCAAACCTGGTAATGCATTCTCGTCTCTAGCTACAAGTCTGTTGTTTAATTAATTCCATAAGCTTCTTAACTTTGCAGAATGTGTAGAAACATCTTTTCCTGAAGTCTAATTGAATGCAAAAAAGTCCGTACATATCTTGAATAACTGGTCTTTGGATGTTGCTTCAAATTGTTGTTTTAACGCTTCCCATGCATCATGTACCGTCTCTTTGTCCATGATTTTTTGATACACTGCATCTGTAACTGAACTTGTGATCATTGACTTAGCGTAGCTATTTGCCTTACGATACAAATAACATTTTTCTTTATGTTGTTTAAATTGAACTTCCGTAGCATTTGCTTCTAAGAGTTCCGGTTTCACCAATTTATTGTCGATCACGTCCAGCGCACCTTCATGGTAGTCAAGCAGATCTCTGATTTTATGTTTCTAAATAGGCCAACCTAGTTCACCCGTTAATTGTTTGATGTGCTTTGCTACCCATCTATCTTTCCGTAGTTTTAAACTGTTCTTTACAACTGAAATGAATTTTACACTGGGCCCATAACCTCTTATAGTTAATTTCTTTCTTATCAAAATTACACGTCTCGTCTTTTTAAAATACTTGAGCTACGTGTGCAGGTCCGCAGATAAATAAAAAGCACTATTTTGTATACAGGCCAATCTCTTTATTAATAGGAATAAAAGACCTTTCTGTAATTTGATAACACAAAATAAATATACTCGAATTCTCTTTGTGTGTCTAACAAAAGGCAAAAGGTGAAGAAGGCGCATGCGTATATATAGAAAAACGGAAAGACGATTATATGGTGGTGCCCTTCGTAGTATTTCGAATTAAACATTAATATTTTGTATTTTTATTTTCTACTCTAACAATGTTCGTAATATTAATTCGGCGAATCAAAATTATGTAATACTTAATAGAAATTCGGTAATTAAAATTATGTCCCTTTTTAAAAAGGGCATTCTCGCAAGTATTGTTGCCGTTTTTCTGCGGTGCTGATTGTTTATCTCGAGTCGCTTTGTGAAACTGAAAGTATCAAGCAACTGTCATCGCAAAGATTAACAATTTGACAGTTATAAAATAAAAAAAAAAAACAATACCAATGGCGCGCGCAAAGCGCGCGTTGTGTTGTCTAGTAAATTAATAAAAATGTAATGTATAAAACGACTGCACTTTTCAAACTACATTTTTTAATAAATTTTAAATAAAAATTGAGCAATGGTTAAAACCTTCTGAAAGTCACTCAAAAGGATAACCTTGACAACATATATCAGGGTCAAGTCGATTCGTGCGGTCTGTGTAAAGGTAAACATTTACTCAAAAATATTGTTAGGTCAATTTGATAAAGTGTGATACTTTTTGATTACTAATAATACGAATAATAATATATTAATAGCAATAATTTTATAGTTGGATGCATGCACTGAGAAAGTAGTTACGTATACGGAGCTACAAGACAAAGTAGTGAGATGCGCGTTGTGGCTAAGAAAACAAGGAATCAAACCTGGTGATGTTGTCAGTGTGTGTACACATAGTCATCTCAATTCCATTGTGCCCTGCTTGGCAGCAATTTATATCAATGCTATCTTTAATCCGTGGGATGATAGTATGGACCTGCGTAAGTTCTGTTACTATGCAATTAAAAACATTGCTTTATGTTTGATTGAAGGTCAGAGAAAATAAAATTTTAATGATAGCGCATGCGCAAATATAACTTTGTCTATTTTATATTAATCAAATTTTGTTTTTATTTATTTATATAATTATTTTAATTATATGTATATAAGTAATATATAAGTATATAGCATTTATGTTATTTAGAATTTTTATACTTAATATTTGTTTTATGTCTTTTATTTTGACCCAGACTATATACAATATATTCAAAAGTTCATCAAATTCAGAATTTGCGGAATGGCGAGATTTCTTACTTATGTTAGTTATAGCAGAATGCTAGATTCAAAGTCCCATATTTTTCCTCTTATGCTCTAATACTTATGTGCTATTTGTCATTAGAAACATCATTGCATGTCATGCAACTGACTACTCCGAAAGTGATTTTCTGTAACGAAAAAGTCGTGAACGTTATTTTAAAAGCGACAAAAGAGAACTGCTTCAATCCCAATATTGTGGTTTTCGGCGATTATCCAGACGCAATTGCATTTTCTGACATTTTAAGCATGTACAGCGATGCGGAAGCAGCAAATTTTCAATTTTTCGAGCCTGATAACATCAAGCAAACAGTATGCATTATACATACCTCAGGTTCCACTGGAATGCCGAAAGGCGTCGAACTGTCCAATTACGCTCTCTTAATCAGCATCGAGAATAGGATGCTGAATGCGACCTCTACGGTTTTATTGTGGTTCTCACCACTTCATTGGATCGGCGGAATAGTAATGAACCTAAAATCGATCGTGCAAGGCTACAAAGTGATAATTTACCCAAAATTCGAGGAAGAGATGACGTGTAGACTAATCAAAAAATACGAGGTGAGACTCTCATCGTGAGACGGAGCTAGCGGAGAAATTGCTAAAAATGATATGTAAATTAATGATATACAGAATATTTAGTGTAAAGATTCGAACGATTTTTTAGACGTTCCCGGTAGTTTAAGAAAAAGTTTATATAGTGAAAATTAAAACATGTTTTATTGTGCAAGTTATTACATGCAATAAAAATATGAAAATAAAATGTGTTCATAAAAAAGTATAGAGGTAGGTTAGACAAAAATGTCAGTAGTTTACATAGTTTGTATATATATATATATATATACACTCTTGCACTAGTTTAGAGGTTGTCTTTTTTCTTCCAATGTCGAGCAAAAAAGACAACTTCTGAACTAGTGCAAAAGTGCAGTCAGCACAAACAGACTTTTTGAATGCTCTCGCTCATTCTCTATTTTTAATAAATTTATCTCACGATATTGAAATAAATCTTCAAGAAGAAATTTCAATAGCTTTATTTTCATTTTTGGAAATTATTCTATTTTTATTATTTTCGAAATTAGAAATTTGGTAACATTTTCCAAATTTTAAGTATACCGCTTTTTGGAGTGAGTGTATATATATATATATATATATATATATACACTCACTCCAAAAAAGCGGTATACTTAAAATTTGGAAAATGTTACCAAATTTCAAATAACGATAATTTCGAAAATAATAAAAATAGAATAATTTCCAAAAATGAAAATAAAGCTATTGAAATTTCTTCTTGAAGAGTCTATTTATTTCAATATCGTGAGATAAATTTATTAAAAATAGAGAATGACAAAACGAGAGCATTCAAAAAGTCTGTTTGTGCTGACTGCACTTTTGCACTAGTTCAGAAGTTGTCTTTTTTGCTCGACATTGGAAGAAAAAAGACAACCTCTAAACTAGTGCAAGAGTGTAGTGAACACAAACAAACCTAATATTGAAAAATAAGGGTTTGAGTTTGCCAATGCACATGGCGTGAGTCAAATGTTGCAACTCAATGGGATAAAAAACATATGATAGTACAGAGTCTTCCGTTTAAATTGCTTTCTTATTCATCTCGATACGATGATTTTTCACAGAGTTATTCGCATTTAAAGTAACATTTCAAAAATAGTGCGAATTGTTACGCTGAGTACCCTGCACAACTTTTTTCATTTATTATATTATTTCCTTCATTTAAAACAAGTTTCTTTCCTGTGTAGTTTTAAGAACACGTATTTCTAAATCTCATTCTGTCCTGTAATTTAAAAGCAATGTTAATTGAATAATAATAATAATAATAAAATACACAAATATCAAAATCATCTGATTTGTTGCTATATATATTTTTATAAGCGATAAATAATGCAATGTTGCTCTTACGAACTTACTGTGTAATAAAGTTTGTTCTTTCTTTTATCTTATATGTATATACATATTTATATATATTATTTTTGGAAAATATTATAATATCTTGCATATACTGTTATAATTAACATTTATTAAATAAATTATATAACATTTATATATATTTGCACATTACTGACAAATTGGAATACATATTGGATTACTGACATATTGGAAAATATGAATTTTTTTCTAATTTGTTTATTGTTGTTATTTAGGTAAAGATACTTTATATAATCTCGAACTTGCTTAATCAATTTCTTAAAGCGGGTTATGTAAAAAACTATTCATTATCATCTTTGAAAGTCATAATACTTGCGGGTGCGGCACTTAGGCCAAAAGTACAGGAAGAAATGAGACGCATCTTACCAAATGTTCTGATGTTACAAAGTTATGGTAGGTATTCTAATGTAGTAAAATGTTATAAATATATTCAATATATAATATATTTCATAGACAAAATAATATTAATACATAATAAATAAATTAATGTACATATAATAAGTAAATAAAGAACATTTATCCTGAAAATTCTATTATTATTCTATTATGTTGTATTTTTTAGGAATGACAGAAATATGTGGATCCGGTACGTTGCAATTTCCGAATCACAAGACTGGATCTTGCGGGACTGTAATGGGATATATGGAAATGAAGATTGTAGATCCAAAAAACGGAGAAATTCTTAGTTCAAATAATTCGGGAGAATTGTGGATAAAGACACCGACCATGATGACTTGCTACTACAAAAATCCTAAAGCAACTAAAAGCATTATTGATGAGGAAGGTAAAAAAAACACCATATTTCTTTTTGCGCGCATACGTGCAATGTAAACAATATAATTAAATTAACATACAACATATATATACTATATATATGTATATATATATGTATATATATATATATATATATTTATTTATTTATACACACACACGCGCGCACGCAAACGCACACACACACACACACACACACACACACACATATATACACACATACGTATGTATGTGTATATATATGTGTGTGTGTGTGTGTGTGTGTGTGTGTGTGTGTAAATAAATAAATATATATATATATGTATATATATTAGGTTATTCGGAAAGTTTGTTTCAATATAAATTTGAACGCAATATTTTACACAAAGAGGTACTTTATTTAAGCAAATATGTACCGTTTTGTTTAACCACATTGGTCCATCTTTTAGGAAGTTGCATGATGCCTTTCTTTCAAAATAAAGGTTTCTTATTGGCAAAGAATTGATCGAGATAATTTTTGAGGATTTCGAATGAATTTCTTATCCAGAAGAAAATTTTTCAAAGAAAGAAATAGGTAGTAGTCAGATCGGATAAAATAAAAATTAAGAAGGCTCGTATTACATCACGCAATAAAAAGTAAAATTAATAAAAGACCAACTTACGAGCAACTATTTTAGGAGTGTTACGTTTTCGTTCGTCCGTTTTTGGGTCAATATATTTAAATACTTTACCCGGGAGTTGGACGGGTTGTGTGTATTTAGTTTTCAGTCCCGAACAGGAATCTTAGTTTATAAACTTTATAACGCGGATCAGTTTTGTTAATGCGGCGATAGTCGGGATAGTCAGGCTCGACGTTAATAGGAGTTAGTTGGTAAGGAATAGTAGGAGGTTTGTCGATTTGGGTGTTTGCTTCTAAATGTTGGAGTTTTTGCGAGAGGTGAAAGAAATCTTGTCGCAAATTAATCGCTTGTTTTATCTGGTATCTGAGCCGTTTGAGCTGTACTCGTTTACCTGCCCTTTTCTTCATGAGAATGTTAAATATGACGGAAGCTCCCAAAATGAACTTAAGGTCGCTACGCAAGGCAGCGACCAGTCCGATTTGCTACGCTCTTCGGCAGCGAAAGGGGTAAGCTCGATTTGAGAGTTATGGTAAATAATTTCATACAACAAGAGCAGTGTTCGTAGGCGCTACACTCTTCGGCAGCGCCGGTTACCAATTCGCTACACTCTTTGTCAGCGAAAAGGCGGTTCCCCGCTCTCGGAGATGTCCTACGTTATATGTAAATTTTACTTGGATCAGATGCCAAATAACTGAGCTTATTGTGGTATTATCAATTACCTTTTATTCTATGAGTGGTTACAAAATTATAAGTCTAAAGTACTGGATTAGTCGTAAGAATAAGGAAACGAAGGATGACAGTCGAAGTTCGCGGAGAACTATAGTTACGACAAAGGGTTCGTTAAGATTTCAACTGCGATGCACAGCGTTTTTCTAGCCCTATTTATACTCGAAATTTTACCACCTCCATCTATGAATTTTGAAGGAGGGAGGCCCCTTATCTCGGTTTGTTTATAAGATTTTGTTTATAAGGTTTGTTTATAAGGTTTATAAACAACTCTGGCGATCCTGCATATCGGATGTTAGTTTAGGATAGGTCCAGCTGAGAGCGATGAAAATTTGTCAATACGTGACGATAAGCAAATTCTAGCGATCCCGCGTATCGGATGTTAGTTTGAGTTAAGATAAATCTAACCGAGAGCGATGAAAATTTGTCGGTACGTGACAAGGAGTGATAAATAAATCTCAGATTTATTATAAATCATTCTTACATCAACATAAAGTTTAAAACTCTATATTCATCTCGACTAAGAGCCAAACGCGATGTTATTGCGACAAATTAAGATAAGAAATTTTTGGAAACTGAGGAATTTGAATTCTATGGTTGGGATCTCAGAAATTCCCCCTGTTCCTTCTCTAAACATTAGAGGCATTTGCCCGAAGTCCCGCGGGAAAACCACGGATCCAAAACCGCGAGAAAGACAGTCTTCTTAGAATGAATTGAAGACGAAAACCCTTCTTCTTGGAAAGCTCAGCTCGAAAATCGGCCTCTCCGCCATATCCAAAAAACTCCGTTTCTCCCCAAAGCAGAATCGTAAATACTCCTTCAATCAAAACCTCTCCTTTGAGTGAAACTTCTTTTCTTTGGAGATTCTGTAAAAGAAAAAGAAGATTACGCAATAATTAATTCACCCTACTTCTATCTGTTCAATTTTCCTTTGAATTTTCTATAAAATAGACATTCTCCGGGCTCCAATCTATTCTAACAATTCTAATCCCTTTCCAGAAAAGGAGCTATCCTATCCGCATGTACGACCTTTTTCCTATGCCTAGAAGTCTTTTGAATACAATATACCACGTCGTTAAATCTTTTAATAATCGAATAAAGACTCTCCCAATTGTTCTGCAATTTCTGGGCCTTTTTTTTACTTCTCTTGGGATTATATAAACAGACTCTCTCTCTTTCCTCGAAAATAATTGTTCTAACTTTTCTATCATATCTGGCTTTTATTTGCGAAGACTTTAAAGCCATACGTTCCCTAACACAAGAACGAATTTTTTCTAATCTTTCCTTTAAATTATTCACAAAATTCTCTAGAGGCAATTTCTCTTCATCAATCTTAGAACTTTCTTGTAACAAGTCTACTGGTAGCCTAAGTTCTCGAGCGAAGTACAACTCGGCAGAAGTCACTCCTGTAGTCTCATGATCTATATGCTAAGAGAAACATAGGAATCCTTTCATCCCAATCTTTCTGATTTTCAGAAATGTATTTCGCCAAGTAATTGATAATTGTCTGATGTTGACGTTCCACCTGGCCATCTGATTGAGGATGAAGAGCAGTAGTCCTTATCTTTTTAATCCCAAGAAGTCGCATTAATTCTCCAAATAACTGAGACTCGAAATTCTTTCCCTGATCTGTGTGAATCTCAATAGACACTGTATGCCTTGAAACAAACTGACTCACAAAAATTTCAGCCACAGTCTTGGCTCTAATATTCTTAATAGGGAAAGCTTCCACCCATTTTGTGAAACAATCCACCATTACAAGAAGATACTTATTCCCTGACTTAGTCAATGGAAGAGGACCAAGGATATTCATTTGCACCCTTTCTAATGGAGCTTCGACGTTATAAATTTGCAAAGGGGATTTTCCTTTTCCAGAAGGACCTTTCTTTGATATACATATCTTGCAGGTTCTGCACCACTTCTCTACGTCTTGCTTACAATTCGTCCAAAAGAATTTTTTTCGAATCTTCTCAAGAGTCTTGTTAACTCCAAAATGTCCTCCGGACGGAGAATCATGAGTTTCCTGTAAAATCTCTTTGATCCGATCTTGAGGAACTATTAATTGAAGGAAACTAGTTTGAAGATTTGAGGCTTCCCATCTCTTATAGAGAATTCCATTTTTTAGAACAAGAGAATCCCAATAAGACCAATAAATCTGAGCCGAAACATTCTTGGTAGGAACTTCCGAATGCAATGGTCTTTTTCCTGTTTCTTTTCCTTATAATTTTTCCGTATAATAAATGAAATGCTTGGATCTTTTTGCTGTGCACGACGCCACTCTTCCAGATCTTTTCCCACAAGCATAATGCGAGCGACCATTTTCTCTCTTTCTTCTGCGTTTTTCGTCTCGACTTTAGCGCAGTATTCGCATCCGAAAGCCTCACATGACCGCCTGGATAATCCATCGGCATTCCCGTGAGATTGTCCTTTTCGATGAATAATTTCGAACTCAAATTCTTGAAGTCTTTTGAGCCAACGAGCCAATTGTCCTTCTAGATCCTTAAAAGACATCAACCATTTTAACGATACATGATCCGTACGAATTACAAATTTTCTACCTAAAAGATAATGACGGAAAAATTTCAAAGAATCTATTATTGCTAACAATTCTCTTCTAAAATAAAATTGTAAAATTAATGTAAATACAGGCCAACTTAAGAGCATAAATAATTAGGATGTTAATGAATATTATAAATTTTTATTGCTTCCTAATTATACCGTATAAAAAAACATTAAAACATATTAATACAATTAAATCACAAACGTTTCGACTGTACGCAGTCTTCATCAGTGGAGTCATATAATATCAGTCAATTATAAAATTATAAAATTTAAAAAAACATTTCGATAATGCTAACAATTGCAATTCCTACTGTTAATTATCATCATATATAAATAAATTGGGTGATGCGAACGATTACAACTTTTGATGATGTGTAGCATGTACGATTTTGAGGCTGAATACATCACTATATTGTTCTTGGATCATTTCAAGATGTTAATGCGGATTGTTTCCAATGATGATTTAAAAGGTGGCAAAACTCTCGGCATTCCATCGTTTGAAAGCGTGGAATTGTCTTAGTTTCCCTTAATTATTATACGTTTCTATATGAAATGACACACTATTTAATGACTATTGTTAAGAAAAAAATTTTTTTTGAATATTACAATGAAAATTGCTTAGTATTGAATCTGCTAAATCGATGACTTTATAAATATTCACGCCACAGCTCAGTTACTTATCACTTTACACGCCATTATGAAGAACGGTTATACATTTGGTACTTATATTGCAAGTTGTTTACGTAGGCATTATTTTTTATATGACATTTTTATTTTGTTTATTTCTTTTCTATGTTAGCTAATTTTTCAAGAACATCCAAATAAGACTCGCTGAATAGCTCTGTATCTTTTTTTAAATTTATACCGTTTTCTTGTTCTATTATATGTAGCATTTCAGAAATCAATCTTTTTTGGTAATTTATTTCATGATCTAAAATTTTAACTTTATTCCAATCGAATGTATGCTGCTCTCTAATTCTATGTTCCGAGATAACAAAGTGTCTCTTTGAATCCCATTTGATGTTATTCATATGTTCTTTTATCCTTGTCTGTAATTGTCTCTTTGTCTGACCCACGTATGTTGCATTGAAATCTTTGCAACTGATCTTGTAAACCACATTGGAAT